CCACAAATTTAAGCAGTTATTTATTCTGTAATTTTTTTGAATAATATTGGACGCTTTTTAACTGAGTTATCATTTTTGGCATTTTGGCCCGTATCTTCAAAACAGTTGGTCCTGCCTTGGCCAATAACTAATCAGCACGTCTCTTTATCAATAGAAATTGAATCATTTAAATCAGTTTATCCGTGTTCTTGAAATCGACTTGAATAATTAAACAATATTAGATTCGTATTAAAAGGGAGACGTTTTGACACGGGCAATTACGAAAAATAGTAATTTTCGTGATTGTTGATATTTCTTCTTTGACATACCTACGCAGCGCGATTGCTATGCAAAAAGTTCATAATTTTCGAAAAATTTCAAAATACAAAAAATGTGTTTTAAAAGTCTTTTTTTTTTCATTTTCCAAAAAATTTTAAAGCTCTTTATAAAATGTAATTTTCAGTACGGAATGTTTCAGTAATTTGTCTTAAGGCACAATGGCATGAGTGAGTTTTTTTTTTTTTTGACGCTATATTTCATTATTCTTGTTCCTAACACTTGTGTGAAGTTTATTATCAGTATCACATTCCATGAAGTACAATTCTTAATATAAAGAGTTTCAAAAGAGGCGATTTCGGAAATATTCATGTGCTAGTGCACGAATAAAACCTGTTTACAGAAGAAATTAAATTATAAACTATTCCAAGTCCTTTCGAAGGTGTCATGTCAATGAAATCATCTAAATTATGTTCTTCATCTTTACAAGAATGCACCCATACAAAGGAGGTGGTTTAAGCCAAGTGCCATCTCAACACGTGCCTGCGATCAGATGCAAAACTATTTATAAACTGATCAGCTGGTATGACACGAAAAAATCTATGGTGTTCTGGATTCAATGCCAAATCTGATCGAAACGTTTCCGTCACATATTTATGAAAATGAGTGAGAAATGGTAACTGGGAATCTAAATCAAATACGAGACACTGTGCTGGGGTGGAGTGTATAAAAAACACATGATAGTCCCACATAACAATATGGTCATCTCCATGACCTGCCTTTTGTCGCCATAACGGAACCGTTCGTCCTTCATTCTATACGAAAACTGCGTAGCACCTACTCAACTCTTCCACATTTTCTTTGCCCACTTTATCACAAAGCATCCAAACATTTTCCTCGCAGTAGCATGAAACATAACTGCATTCTGATTTCTTAGGGAATAAATTTATTCTGTCGTTAGTCATTTTACTCTCTACTTTTATACATCAGTTGTAACATATTTATCGTTTCAAATTGATTCTTACATTCTTGCATATAAGCTTGGAAGTGCACAAATTCGTCATTTTAAGAGGGCTCGAGAACTGAAGAACATATTTTTCTTAAACTTTCAGCTCGTTGACGGATCTTTATATTAGCCAAATTGCCAAAATTGATAATTTATTAACCAATTTGAAAATTTACGTTCAGAAAGGGAGGCAATGCAAAATAATAAATTTTAGTTATCGGTTATTTCAACCCAAATTTTGCATTGCAATTGTATTATGTTTTGTTAATAATATTCCTTGAAATAAAAATGTTGTCAAAAAAGTGTTGTTTATATTGTGTAGAATTTTTTTCTATACCCAAAATTTACCGCTCTGGGCAGTAGCCCCGATTGCCCCTACTGTAAATCCAGCAATGTATATATATTAGGGTGGTCCTTAAAATGGTCATTTTCGAATTTCCTTGCTCCCAGGGGCTCAAATGGTTCCAAATTGATAAAAAACAATTCTCTGAAAGTTTTAGCTCTTAATATTAACGTTTAGATAGAGCGCAATTCCATCAAAGTTTGTATGGAAAGAGCATGAAAAAAATTTTGAAAATTAAAAAAAAAATGTTTTAGGTAAAACTTAGCGACAAATGAATGAGTTTTATTTATTCATTTGTTTGCTAAATTACATCTAAAAAGCATTTTTAAAATTTTTGAAAAATTTTCCATGCCATTTCCATACAAAACTTTGATTGAATTGCGCTCTATCTAAACGTTAATTTTAAGAGCTAAAACTTTCAGAGAATTGTTTTTTATCAATTTGGAACCATTTGAGCCCCTGGGAGCAAGGAAATTCGAAAATGATCATTTTAAGGACCACCCTAATATATATATATATATATATATATATATATATATATATATATATATATATATATATATATATATATATATATATTTGAATAGTCTTGAATTTGATGTTGATATAATATGCTTAATTTGAATTGAAAAGTCTGGCGTTACATTAATATAAATATTTTATAGTTAAATTGATTGCCACTGAATGAAGACTAAGATGCTAGTCGAATCGTATCGATTTTTAATGAATAAATTTCTAAAAACTCTCATACTATTTTTATTGCCCGACTTTTTAACTCAAATTAAATATATATATATACATGGTCTATTCAAAAAGTACCCGGAATTACTAATAATTAAATTTCGCGGGTCTGGAGTGTCTGATTGTCAAATTTTTTTTTATTGTGTTGGTATACATGCCCCTAAAGTATGATGAAATTTTCAGCTATATTCACTGTTTACTTTGTCTGTGGTAGTCGCTAAGGTTCGACGTGTTTTTCTGAGCTCGGCGATTTTTACAATGGAAGAATTGAAAAAGTCAAAGAATTTGTATTAAATTTTGCGTAAAAAATGAAATAAAGTGTTGCAAAGTGCAAAAATTCACCAGATATGGCTCCGTGTGACTTGTTCCTATTCCCAAAGCTGAAGAGACCCATGAAAGGACGGCGGTTTTCCTCGATTGAAGAAAATCGCCGAGAGTGCTCAAGGACATATCAAAAAGTGAATATCAAGGGTGCTTCGAAAATTGGAAAAAACGCTGGCATAAGTGTATTATATCTGGGGGGGACTACTTTGAAGGGGACCACATTAATGTAGACGAATAAATAAATATTTTTTTGAAAAAACGAAAATTACGAAAACTTTTTGAACAGACCTCGTATATATATATATATATATATATATATACACATATATATGTATATATATATATATATATATATATATATAGGTAGATAGATAGATAGATACTTTATTTAAATTCAATATTTACAATTTACGTCAATACAATTATTATTTTTATCACAATATTAAAATATAACTATAGTAATATCAGTGATATTTATGAACAACTCAAGATTAACCTAATGACAATTAATAATTAACTTAGATTAAAGAATTCATTTATTGTATAAATAGGTTGATCTATAGGATGTTTTTTGACAGTCGCATTGAAACAATTCCTGCTTTTAAATTTCCATTCATTGGAAAGCTTGTTGTAAATTTCAACGTCACATTCTATCTCTTTCCGACAGTAAATAGCAACACCTCCGTGCATATGTATACTACTGCAGAATGAGCTGACTAGCCGAAAAACACGTATATAGGTCGATTTGCTAGTTGCCAAGCCAATGTTCACATAAACAAAAAATGTTTATTTTATTGTTATGGACAACTTTTGTTAATGCCTCCGTTTTATTGGATAAACATTGAATGTTCAAGGACAGTACATATTAAACCAGTTTAACAATTTTTCTTCATTTTTTCTCCCAGATGAAATAAAAAACGGTCCACACAGACTCCTTTTGGCCAAACATCCGGAGATTTTATTCTTTTCAATTCACTCTCTGCAACGGATACCTTGAAAGAGGCATATGTTTTCAGATGTTTAGAAGCCATTTCCTCACATTCAATATTTTTGAAGTTTTTCTCATTTAAATAATTTTTTAGAGTTGCCGTTGATGTTTCCGGTGCCAGGCGAAACACATGCAAGTGAGCCTTCCTCACAACTCCCGCGAGTGTGGTGCTCACATTTGTTCCTTCTATGGCTTTGTTTTTTCGTTTCGGCGACTTCCTTTTCTGGACCAAAGTCCAGTTTCCATAATCATTTGCTTTAATTGATTGTTGTTCAGCTTGGATCGATTGATTAGGCAGCTCCTTGTTGGCAATCGCATCTCGGAATGTTTCGCTTCTACGCTTGTCTAATTCCTTTAAAGCAGTTGCTACTGCAACACTCACCTGTTCTTTTGAGACCTTATTAGCATTGGCACTGTTTTTATTGGTAGATTTATGTTTACGCTTCTTAGATGCTGCTTTCTCAGTATTACTAACAATATTGGGTGCAGCTGACGAAACTTCTTTATTCTTTTCATTTGGCTTTAATAATTGCAGCATCTTAATTTTTTCTTCAAGATTCTGAATTATGTATTCCTTATCCTTTATTATTGTCATTGTATCGTCTATTATGGTATTTTTGTCGGTAATTGTTTGTTTTAAGTTGTTAATAGTATCGATATGTTTGTCACTCGACACTTCACTGCTCACCTCACAGCACTGTATCAAATTTCCAACAATGAATTTGAAACCTTTTCTTGTGGCACAACTCACATGGTAAATTTTTCCACAGTTCTTACAAACACCCACACTTGCAGAAGGTTTTGTTTCATAGCAGTTGTAGGTTTTTTTGGAATCCGATTCCGGAATATTTAATTGTGTCAGAGACATTACGACACTTCAAAAAACACGTCTGCACGGTTCAACGGTTAACGGTCATATATATATATATATATATATATATATATATATATATATATATATATATATTTAAACTAAATTTGATAGAATGTCTTAAAAAAACAATAGAAAAAATTATCTCACGGTGTTTGTAAATTATTTGCATGCATGTGCCAACTATAGCTTTGTTAAAATTATGAGCATTTTTCGATTATTGTTATTAATCTTTATTAGTTTTGGTCATTTATACTAGAACCGTAACCGTGAATAATATTTCAACGACTATAAAGATCATTATTACTACTATCATTATTGTTTTTATCATTATTATTGTTATTGTTATTTTGCTATTACTATAACAGTAAATATTGCAAAGGTTTTTATATTATAATACTTTATTATACATATTAATATTAGTATGCAATAGCATTTTTTACGTATGATAGAACCGATATATTCACCTAACAGAATTCTGAACTCCTGAACCGCATGTTCTAGAGCAATCTCCCCAACTACTCCAAGGACCCCAGCCTCCATCAACGGCGTCAGGTCGTTTTCCGACTGTTATACACTCTCCTTGGTAGCACCACTAAAATATTTTTCTAATATTAAGGTGATTTGGAATGAAAGTTGTAACCTTACAAATTATATTACAAATGTGCAATGTTCATATATTTTTTTTATTATTTTTGTAGTTATTATCTACATATATTGTTTTTTTTCTTTATTAATAATTAGCAATCAGAATATAAAAATTCTATGAGCGTCAAAACAAAAAAAGTGCGCGTGAGGTTCTCACGCGATTAAAGAAAAACTGTTTTGCTGTCGTACGAGATGGCATTTAAGTTAAAAATAAATACATCATATAATAATTTTGAATAATGTTTCTTAGTAATGTGATAACACACATGATGCACGCACTATTTAATGTCAAACATTATACATATTTATATTAATAAATTATATATTTTACTCCCTGCTCAATACTTCCTTCTTCTTGAATTATACCTACTAAACAGATTCTTTTTCATTAGCATAGGTGATCAAAAATCTTCAACTCGGCCTATCCGCTCCGGTGTTCCGCAAGGAAGTGTACTTGGACCCTTGTTGTATCTTTTATACACTCATGACTTACCCGTCATGACACACCTCCTACAATCAAACCTGGATACACTGCAAGACTGGCTTAGCATCTGGAGATTCAAGGTAAACAACCAAAAATCAGCTCACGTCACCTTTGCACTGAGCAAACATACATGCCCACCAGTGACTCTCTTCCATAATTTGCTACCCAACAAGGATAATGTTAAATACTTGGGACTTCACCTGGATCGAAAACTCACATCTGCCAAAAGCGTAAACAACTCGAAGAAAAGCGAAGACAACTATATTGGTTGCTGGGTCGTAAATGTAAAGTGTCGATGTCAAATAAAGTTTTGATATACAAATCAATACTTAAACCCATTTGGACCTATGGCATTCAGCTCTGGGGCACAGCCAGCCACTCAAATGTAGAAATCTTACAGAGGTTCCAAAATAAAATACTTAGGCAAATTGCCAACGCACCTAAATACACCCCCAACTGGTTACTCCATGATGAACTGGGTGTCTCTTTCATTAGAAACGAGATTCCTAGACTTTGTCTAAAGTATCGTAATAGGCTCACCTTTCACCCAAATAACCTTG